TCTGATGATCTGAATGCTCAGTTTTTAGTTTCATCAGACCAAACAGCCGTCTTCTAGTTTACCTCTGAGTCACCCACATGCCTTCTGACAAACTCTAGTTGAGATTTAATGTGAGCATTTCTATGTTCTCGTGTCATTGTGGACTACCGAGTCACCGCTGACTGCACACGGATGATTTTCATTGTACTAATTTTGGCACCAACTGGCTGCACTTGTGTTTAATTTACGGAGTCACTTTAAACGTAGATGAACCGTTATGCAGCCACTTATTTTACATTTTATATTTTTTAATTAATCTGTTTTCATTCTGACACCAAAGAGCCTTTTTCTTGTAAATTCTTGTCCAAAAAGGCAAATTAAATTGACCATGATTCAATGATGAAAAGCGAACTTAAGAGAGGTGAATGCATTTTGGAGGCGCTGTCATATTTCTGTGGTGTCTCACGTGGTGCCGGTCCATTACGTTTTAGATCAATTATGCAGTAAATATTGAACTGAAGCTTTAAAAAAAGGGCACTGCATATGGCCATATTTGTTAGAAATATTACATTTACATATTTCTGACAAAGTGTTGAGACGTGCTTACCGTAGGCAGCTTAGTTCTGTTGGCGCTGATGAAGAACATTTAGCTATTGTTGGAAGACTTCAGAACCTAATGCAGTGTAAAGATGATTAACATTAGTGTACTAATCGACTGATGTAATTGGACATTTTGCAAGCTCAGGGACTCCATAAAACGAGTGTGTTGTGAATAAAGAACTTGTTCAAGGTCTTCTGTTTCCCTCATTGATCTGAGGCTATTTATCCCAGACTGCATTGGCCACATTAAAACCACCTACCTGCTGAGATCCAACCTTTAAGCTGCACAGAACAAAATAATAACAGGGCTGTCTTTAAAACTTTTACTTCAAACTGAATTATAGATGCCCCCTTCAGGTGTTTTTTACCCAGACTGCACCGTGTGAATCTACCAGCAAAGTTCAGTGTGTTCTTTATATTAATTCTTTATAGAGGAAAGATCAAGTCACACATATGTGGTTTCACAATCCTTGGAAAACAGCTGACAGCATTATGTTCCCAGTTCAGGACTAAACGAGCCCGAAGCCTCTCACACACAAAAATAAAGACACCATCTGACTGCGACACATTCATAGCGACCCATGCTGATGACAGAAAACTATTCTGAAGAGCGAAAGCAGCTCCGCAACGTAACCTCCGACGATTCAAACGGAAAAACGAATCATCCCTCTGACATGCAACACTGAAACATAGATACAGAAAAGATGAGCTTTTTACAGCCATGTCCAACAGTAAGACACATGAGAAAACATCCGTGGATATATACATTAACTTACATGATCAATAGCTCTGTTGGTTTATGAACAGTATTTACACAGTAGTGGAGGAAGTCCTCTCTCCCCACCAGCTTCAGTCACAGCACAGTTTCTCGTCACTTGTTTGTCTCGTTTGGCTTCTACTCAGCACGGATCTACGGGACTGACACATATACAAATGGCTTCTCTGTACAGGTCCAGATGTTCAAGCAAAGAAATCACAACATGAGGCGGCGGTTCCTCCTCACATCCAGGGACACACCCATGGCTTATCACATTATGCTGAGGTCGCTAACTGATTGGTTGAAACTCCTCCTCTGAGCTCCTGTAGTCCGACCCGGTCCGTTCAGCTCCACAGCGTGTCCCACTGAGCTGAACAAGGGATGTCTGTTACAGTAATATATGTTATTGGCAAACTGTGGCGTAATACAGCGATCTCATGACAGTCATGTTAGTAGACACATATCAACAAGGCAGACAGACAGACTCGGAACCATCTGTGCTAAGATAACAAGAAGCGTGTTTGCAACCGATGAGCTTCACAGAGACAGAACCGGACAGTCCCGTTTGAACTCGGCGTGATCAGTGACTCGGATCGGTACAGTGTCGTGTCTCTGATCGTCCTCTCCGAGAAACGTCCTCGGGTTCAGAACGGTCCGGAGTTCAGACGATGGATCCCTTGGAGGAGGACAGGTGGATGGACTGGATGCGCATGGCCAGGGTTTTCTCCAGGTCCTGCAGGATGTCACAGCCGGGGCTGTCCGGAGGCGCGTCGTACAGCAGCTGTTTGAACGGCTCCAGCTCGATCAGGATGACCATGTTCTTCAGGAAGTAGCCCTCTATGTAGGACGCAAGGTCCGGAGCATCGAGGAACTGGGAAGGAGAGGTGGGACACGACTGAGGAATGCAAGTTTTTAAAGAAATGAAAAGAAAAGTTTTGCTTCACCTTGTGCAACAATAGTTCAAGTTAGTGGACAGTCAGCAAACAATCCAACCAATCACCCTCCTCCTTCTATACAAACATGTATATAATACTGTTATCTTCTTTATCTCCTTTTGCACTGTTTGAAATCTGATTTATTTATTTTTGCTTATTTTTTTATCCCCCTCTCTCTAGTTATATATATGCATAAATACTCATATATATATTTATTTCTTGTGTGTTTCATTCCTTATTCTTATTTATCTTTTTATTATTGTGTCGGTGTGGACCAGGTGCACGACGCATGTCCCTGCCCTTACACCAGGTACATCTGTGACCAGTAACGGCCTTGAATCTTGGATCCTGCATCAGTCTCCATCAGCGCTCGCTTTGTGCTGAACGCTGACGCTTCCTTTACCTTGGTGTGGTTGTAGATCTCAACACAGGTTTCCGTGTTGATGTTCTTGGAGCAGATGATCTCACAGTGTCTCTGCAGCGCTTCCAGCTGGAAGAACTTGGCTGCTGATAGAAGCTGCAAAAACACGCAATTAACTCAAAGTTCAGAATTTTGTTCTTAATTCAGAAAAATGGTTCAGGATCCATGTTCCAATACAAGATCGTGCAACATCAGTATTGTTCTACTTACAGAAGAATTTTGCACTATAGATTCCAGGATAGTCAGTATTTCTACTCATTGAACAATCTGTGCAATGCTGTTATTTTCTACATCCAGAGCATTTTTCTCTTTCTTCAATATTTGCACATCCACATCTGGAACAACCAGTCATGATGTATGTTTGTACACAGGTCTGCACACTTAATGAAGGCTTATCTCATCTCATAGATTCACATGTAAACGGTCCTAATCGTGTGATTTCCAGTGTGAGCGCTCACCTCCATAATGTCAGGGTTCCTGATGTGCAGAGCATCCGTCCCTCCACAGTACAAATACTGCATCACCAGCTGACAGGAGGAACCGGAGGAATAAAGCACACATTCAGAGGAGGAAGCAGTCGGAATACGAGGCTCTTATCAGAAAGTCTGTCTCGCTGAAAGTAATTACCTGAAAAATGTGATATTTGACATTGCTGATTTCAATGCACGTGTTTTCACCACAAGGTCTGTTTGCGAGCAGAGATTTGAACCTTGAGAGAAAGAAAAAGAGACACAGAAGAGAAAAGAGAAATCACAGCCTTGGCCAGGAAAGAGAAGCCGTACGATAACTCAGCATTTGGTGCACGCTCCTGTTTGAACGCTCACTGAATGAGGAGGAACCTTCATCACATACAGCAGCAGGTAACCTGTGCATAACATCACAGGCTTTAATATGTTTTATGTTTTAGAGTCATGCGTCCTTTCTCTTCAATCATTTCACGACAGGAGGGATTAGTTGTCATCAAGGTAACGAAACCGGCATCAGAACAAAGACTTTACGGATCAACAACGACATCAGGCCTCAGACAACGTGTTGGTCTGTGCTCCGGTCAGAGTCCTCCACAGTCTGCATGGACTCCTCACAAAGCCACAGAGCTGCTGTATGAACTGAGCATCCTGAAAGCTGCTCTCTACGTACCTGTTGGAGGCTGTGAACAGCAGGACTTTGTGGGCGTAGAACGGCTTCCCCTCCACCAAGAAGGTCACGTCAGACATCTCTTTATTGTTCAGGAAGTGAGGATCTGAAAGACACGCGGCCAGAAAAACTTGATGTTTTTCTGATTATCATAAAGAGAAGCACATGGGGTGTGCAGCTTAGCCTCACCACCCATCTAAACACATCTCACAGCTTCCTGTTCCGGCCTGCGGGCACTAGATGGTGTTGTGTGCACTTTGTAATCTACAGCATTCACTCCTAGAGCTGGTTCTAAAACATACACAAGTGTGGTTCTGCCTTCTGAATGTTTCTACATCGTTAAGCTCACAGTGACCCTAACGAAGCGATGAAGACGTGCTCACCGAGGCGTGACGACTGCTTCTTCTTGATCTCGACCAGTTTGGGGATGGGGTACGGCCCGTAGCACTGGGTGAAGATGGCAGACAGCTGCTGACTGATGACTTCGTTCTGGGAAAAACAAAAGCACGCACAGAGTAACAGGGAGGGTGAGGAGAGCTCACCTCGGATGCACTGCACTCATCCAGGAGTCCACGTTATGCAAGACGACGAGCAGCACAGCGCTCCTCTCCTACACAAACAACCCCCGACGCAATTATCGGCGCAGCGAGAGGTTAAACTTCTGGATCGGCATTCACTTTGTTCAAGCAGTTGTTCCAATAAGCCGCGTATTCATGTGTATCTGACACCTCTGAAAGGGGATCAGATGAATATCAGACTGCTTTCTGAACACCCACAGCTCCTCAGAGATTACTGTAGAGCAGTGACAGGTTGAGCCACTGCAGGAGAAAGAGGAGCAGACAGCAGAACGAGAGCTTCTTAGCCTCAATCTCAGCTTCTTCATTTACACGTGTGAGCGAGTGTGAAGGTAAAACTGAAAGAGGAAGGAGAGGAAGTGGCTCACAGCACTACAGAAACCCACAGAGCAGCCGGACTGGAGCTGCTCACCATGGATGGATGGATGGATGGATGGATGGATGGATGGATGGATGGATGGATGGATGGATGGATGGATGGATGGATAGATAGACAGATAGATGGACAGATGGAGGGATAGATGGATAGATAGATAGATAGATAGATAGATAGATAGATAGATGGATAGATGGATAGATAGATGTATCATAAACATTGTTTTATTGATCAGATGAACAGAGATAAATCAGTGATGTATTCATTGCCATAAACTGGACGCTCAGAGCTTCTGTCCAGACGACCGTCGCTGTCGGACAGACGAGCAGATTGTACGTTAATCAGATTAAATCAATACAGATGATTTGATTCAGCCGAACTGAGCAGAGCTGAACAAAAACAGAGTGCAAACTAGAGACTAAGTTGCTGAATGCAGGTTTGAGGTGGAGGAACGATGGACGAGCTGCACCTCGACGTCTCCTCCCGGTGGAGCAGACAGAACCAGAGGTCCCCGAGGCCCTCACGGAGATCAGGATTACTGACCACACATCAGCCAGGACACAGACAAGGACTGACACTGCAGCAGGTCACTGAAGCCTGGCGTGGAGTCCAGTGTGTGTGTGTGTTACTGTGTGTGTGTGTGTGTGTGTGTGTGAGGGATGCTGTTGATGATGTGAGTCTCTGCTGCTCTGCTCCTGTGTTTTATTGATGTGTTCAGACCTTTTTTTCGGTCCTATATCAGCACTGACAGCTGAACTCATCACCAGCAGGGCGGCATGAAGCCGAGGCAGAGAGACAGAACCAACGGAGGTGCCAGACGGGACAATGAGGTTCTGTTCTAGATCTAATACTGCCCACCGATGGGATCGTGAGCTTAAGTAATGAGGCCGAGCCCTGATCTAATGAGCAGCACCACAGAGGACCGGGGACGTAGCATGAATCACTAGCATTTCAGCTAATTGATACTGAGTGGGCCTCCGAGGTTCTGATGGTCTCTGATGATCTGACAACGTCCTGACAACGTCCTGACAACCGTACAGCCGGACATGAAGCAGAGACGGGTCATGTCCATGTTAGACCGTCACGTTTCTGCTGCTTCGCCTGACATTTCATCTTAAACGATGAATATTTATGAAGACACTGAACTCGCTGCCTGATTCTCCTGCTTTGTGTTCTGCTGTGAATAAACTTGGCCTTCAAGACCAAAGCGGCACGCTGTGCACAAAGCTACGTTTATGAAGCAGCTCAGTCTGTTTCTGCAGCCTGCAGTCGGGTCAGAAAATAAAAAACATGCCCGTTATATGTGGAAAACCATCCTGGACTTTACGTGGATCAGGACATCTCCAAATACTACAACAGTTCATATCTGCTCAATCAGTCCTGAACGCTCAGCAAAAATAACACCTTCTGTCATATTGAATGTCACATTAAAAGCATTGTTTGCAAGACTGGACTGTTCACGACGGCTTCACTTTTATTTATTTATATTTCTGTTTGATCTTCTTGTCCATTAACGTAGATGCTGAATTATTGGTTAAATAAGACGTAACAGTGGAAGTTTTAGGGCTTTTATCATTTATAGTTACAGAGATAATGTGGTTCAAACATCGTCTAAAGTTTTAATGAAAAACAAACCCATCCCAGACAGTGTTTGGTATCAGGCTCAGACGTCACAGAAAATAGTTTAAACATCCTTCGCTTACAGTAAATAAACGCTTTGAGCACATCAGAGCTGGACCGGGCCAGATGAGTTCTAACAGGAGACCCAGACGGAGCGGTACCTTGCTGGCTCTGAGGATCTGGAACATGAGAGGCAGGCCGTGCGTGATGAGCTCCTCGGTGTACTCCTCCTCCTCAATGCAGCTGAACTCTTTCAGCAGACCCTGGATCAGCGGCCGGCGGTGCTGATGGAAACACGTGCGCAGAGACTCCAGCCAAGTGTGTAAAGTCCACGGGACCCCTGGAGAGCCAACAGCAGACAGTAAGATGGTGTAAGGAATGAAGACGTCACGCTTCAGAGTGTTTCCAGCGACCCACCGAGGCTCCGGATGTCGATGGTGATGTCTACGTGGCCGTGCTCTGCACTGTGGTACATGGCTTCTTTCAAGGCTTTGAGTTTGGCCTTTCCGGTTCGGATCAGGTCCATCTGAGACGGACTTCTACCTTCCAGCTCCGAACCTTCTGCCAGAATCTCCTCCAAGGACAAGACGTCCCCTTTTCCTTTCTCCGTATGGGACAGCAGCTTCCGGAACACGTTTCTGCATCAACAAATACAGAAAAACCCAAAAAGACGTTTAATCTGATCAGTCAGCACCGACTCTGCTCAGTAGATTTTTATTTAGATTTTTTACCAACTACCAGTTTGTGTGTCAGCATCACAAACGGAGCGAAACAACAAAGAAAACGGATGCTGTGGTGTCACTAAAACCCATCAGAGGACTGTGAACGAAGAGCCATCACTGGGACAGTCTGCCGGCAGGATGACTGATATTGCTGCATATGTCTGGATTTTAATTAAAAAGTGTGATTAAATAAACAACAAGAAACCTCCAGGGGAAAACAAACACTCACTTTATGCAAAGAGGCACTTGACTGTCTTAAAAGGCTCACAGAGACTCTATGTGACTGTACTCAGCGGTAAACAGCTTCACCTGACTGGAGGAAACGTCCTCATGTAACACACTTTATAAATAGTTGGGAGCTGAATCATGCTCTTGGCCTACATCGTGAAAACATAAAGCTGGTAGCCGCCCAGCAGAGTTCGATACGCTGGGGCCACGTTTGATGGAAACCACACTTAGAGACAGACAACCAAGCACACTCACACCTGGACAGGTAACCAGTCTATCACAGGGCTACACTTAGAGACAGACAACCAAGCACACTCACATTCACACCTACGGACAATTTACAATCACCAATTAACCTCAGCATGTTTCTGGACTGTGGGAGGAAGCCGGAGAACTCGGAGAGAACCCACGCTGCACGGGGAGAACATGGAGACTCCACGCAGGAAGATCCCGGGTGTCCTCACCGGGACGCCAACCACCGACCTTCTAGCTGTGAGGCCATGGTGCTAACCACTGAACCACCTGCAGCCCCAGACATCAGGATCTATTTAGTTTATTCTGTGACTGTTTCTTAAGTTTCCACCTTTAAAAACAGCTACAGCTGGACCATCTTCTGCTTCTACGGATGGAACACACTCAGGAGAAGTTCGTCTCTGGGACCACAACACCAGGAAGTCGTGAAATTAGAAAGTCTCCATAAAAACGGACCTTCTACCGTTCTAATGGTCTCATAACAACGAGTCAGTAAACAGTGGTTCTGTTAAACCTGGTCCAGAAACAATCTCCTTTGTAACTTTAATCATTTTAATGCAACAGAAATAATGACCAGATGCTCCTTTCACTTCAGTCGCAGCAGCACCGGGCAGTCTGCATGACATACAGCCTGGTTCTGGTTCTGAGACCTCCACGGTGGACAGGTCACGTTGGACTTTAACCATATGAGCTGTTCATCTCAAACAAAAACGAACAGAAACTCTGAAGGAGAAGCACAGGAAGCCCAGAGCGGTTCATTGATGCAGTAAATCAGTTGAGCGGCTGACGTTTCCATTTCATGCTCATGCTCTGTTGACTTTGTTTGTACATAAACCAGATTATATGCAGAACACACACTGAGCGCGTGTGTTTTCTGTTTATCTGCTTGTACGGCCGATGCTGGAGCATGAATCCGTGTGTTGCCTACCTGTGTCCGTGGGCCGCTGCCAGGCTGTAGGAGTTCATGTCTCCCTGTGGCGCGGTGGAAATGCCATTACGGTACATGGTTCCCACCATGGGGTCGGCGCCGCGCTCCAGCAGCAGAGTCACCAGCTCAAAGTTACCTGCACGGGGAAACAAACACAACAGGATTAAACCAGGTGAGACAGAGAGAAGGATGAGAGTGATGCACATCATTTGTTCTGCACTCGTGAATCTATTTGTCTTTATTTTTCCAGCCCCGTGGGATAAATCAGCCTCTGAGGTCGTCAGTCAGCAGCACAGTCAGGTGTAGTTGTGGAGGCGGCCTATCGGCGGCCAGCTGCTGTCAGCGTGCTGCGCTTCAGGACAAGAGTCCCACCGAGTCTCCGTACCTGCAGCAGCAGCCAGCTGCAGCGGCGTCTCGGTGTAGTTCTCCATCCCGTCCTGCAGGGAACCCTCCACGTTGGCTTTGGCATCCAGCAGCAGCTGCAGGTGGTGGTGGAGGTGGAGGTGGAGGTGGAGGAGGTGGTGGTGGTGGGGGGAGGTACGGCGAGGACGATGGGAGACAGAGAGAGGGAGGGTGAGGAGAAGAGGGAGGAAGAGCAGCAGACTGAGCTTCAGTCATCTTGAGCATAAACGAGTAAATCTGACTTTTACACGGATCAGTCAGAGCAGAGCAGCCGGCGGGTCGCATTTAGAGTTTTAGAGGGAAGACGCCTGATTGGTTCCTGATTAGCTGCACCTGCTGAGACAAGAAGCTACAGGAAGCTTCAGATACATTATTAAAATAAAAGTAAGCGAGCTTAAAGGTTTTTTAACCGTTTTTTTAAACTTTAATGTTCATGGTTCCACCTGCTGCATGAAAGCTGAGCTCCAGCTGGACAGACATCTGATCATCAATCATCTATCATCTATCATCTGATCACCTATCATCTATCATCTATCACCTGATCATCTGATCACCTGATCATCTATCATCTATCACCTGATCACCTGATCATCTGATCATCTGATCATCTATCATCTGATCACCTGATCATCTGATCATCTATCATCTGATCATCTATCATCTGATCACCTGATCATCTGATCATCTATCATCTATCATCTGATCACCTGATCATCTATCATCTGATCCTCTGATCATCTGATCACCTGATCATCTGATCATCTATCACCTGATCACCTGATCATCTATCATCTATCAGATCATAACAAACTAAGACCTGAACGTAGGCGAACAACTTCTGTGATTGAATAAATTAATAAGAACTCTAAGTGTTACTTTGCTGGAGGGACACAGAACATATTGTTCTGGATTCTCTCTTTTTATTATTTTAGCATTTCAAGAGTTTTGTTTATTTACAAACATGTGAACCAACATATGGTACAATAATAAACACACACAGCTACATGAACAAAACCAGTCTGATCCAAAACACGCTTCCAGGACCTCATCACTCCTTCACATTGACTTCTGTGGAATATTTCAGGTTGAGGATATTAAAGCTTTGTTAATGGAACGTGCAGTATTTCATATTTCCACTCTGACAGAACTTCACTACCTGAACAGAACCTCTCACTGTTCTGCTCTGTGGCCTTGTTTCAGCTCACACTTTATTATCAGTAACGTATCGTACTTCCATCTTCCTGCGTTTCTACTCAGCACTATGTTTCCTAACGTGGTGTGACTCAGGTTTTCTGAGCAGAACAGTTTCCTAACGTTTTATCTGAATGAGTGGACAGCTTGTGTCTGCTGTTTGTGGGGATTCCTGTTCGAGCCGCTCTCTGAAACAAACCCCAATACAAATATGCAGAACTTCCTTCTTTGCACTTACAACTTGTTCCATTTTAGACATTTTAAAATAATCGTAACGAATGAACGAGCCGACGTCTGAAATCACCTCCAGCCTCCTTCAGCCTCCATCTGTTTGTTTTTTGTAATGCACCAGCAGAAATAAAGAAGTCTGAACGATTTCTCTCTGTCCTCGTCCCAAAGCCCAAAGAACACTTCCAGAAACCCCCATTAGACTAAAACGCTCTCCCAGTTCCTCAGATAAAGTGGGCCTCTGCGGCGCTACTCGTTAAACTGGCTGAGAGGTATTTATCATTAACAAACGCTCTATCTGGGGAACAAGAGAAGGAACAAGAACAAACTCCTGAATCTGACAGCGTTTAACAAGATGAGCTGCATCTACAACCAACGTCTGAGAAAACTGAAATGATGATAAATTTAAAGGCAAAACATTACAGCAGCTTTAATCTTTTTAGCTCGTTGTTCCTTTTTTAAATCTGATGTGCTGGAGTCACGTGGCCGAACCGTTCTCCATTAGGATTTAATGATTCACAATCCGATGGACGGATCACTTAGAGGGCAAACCGAATTAGTTAAATGAGTTCAATAACAATTAGGCTGCTGTGTTTCCACTTTCCACTGGCTGGATGCAGTCCTGTCCATTTGGTCAGAAGTGCACCAGAGGAAGCGAGTCCTGCCCTAAAAACCGACACCACAAGATCAAATTCTGCATCGTAGACGGTGTCTCAGTATATTTAACAAAAAGACAGAGAAACAGGAGAAAAGTGGTGGCGGTGAACCTTTACCAGAAGCTTTGATGACAAAAATAAGATGACAATGATGACCAACCATGAGCTGAAGCACAACAAGAGGTCATGATGAGAGATCACAGGTGAGGAAGACGTCACTACCTGCACCACAGGCACATGTCCGTGTAACACAGCGAAAGTGAGGGGCGTCGCCTGCCGCGTTTCGGGAAAGACTGAGGGGTGCTTGTGCACTGAGTTTGGCACCTGGGGAAGGGGACACAGGTAGGGTGGGGTAGGTGGGTGGGGGAGGGAGGGAGAGAGGTGAGGGAGAGAGAGACCAAGCCATTAAAACGACTACATGGCCTACGACACGGAGCACAAGACAAGCAGCAGGAGGGGCAGACAGGAAGCTACAGGAGAAACTGGAGTAATTAGGCAGGAACCCCGGGGCTGCAGAGGACATCCTGTCACCGCGCTCGCCGTCTAATGAACACGATGGATTGATCTGTCTCGTTAGGTCTCGTCCTAATGGTTTGGCTGTGATCTCTGTGGCCCTCCGCTGTGGGTTCCTCTGACCTCTGAGGCTCGTCTCAGACCAACCAGATGAAAGCATGACACACATGACGCACAGCCGCATGACAACAAAGCACAAAGGCTCAGACGCTTTCTTCCTCAGGCTGCTTTTAGGAAACAAGGAGGGAGAAGAGACACGTGAGCTTCTGTTTCCTTCTCTTTCTATTGGTGAATGACATTAGACTGAACGTTTTCTGGCTGCGTCGCCAATAAATCCGTCTCTGAGCTGCCGAAAGAATCGTGTTTGTCTGTCACATTTGTCTGTAAAAAATCGAAGCTTCAAATCCAGATGCATGAAACGGACGTGGGAAGCAGAGCCTTTGTATGTTTTAGTCGGCGGCGCTTTGTGCTTTGGCCAGGGCTCACGAGTGCAGCGCAAATCAACTCTGACACAGTGGCTGATGGGACACGTTGCTGCTGAAGTGACTAACGAGGACCAGGATCATGAGGGCCGAACGGAGCGCGCTCTGTGACGGCGGGCCGGGATGCCGCCTCGATCCTCTGCCCACTCTGTGAGGAATTCAGTTTGCTTTAAGTCAGCTGGTCTGGTTTTTTCTTTTTTTCTCTGTGTCAGGGGAAAAGAAAAAACAGCCTCAGCAGCAAATCTCTGTGTCACATCTCAAGCTCAAAGTGCTCAAACTGGTTTGAGTGGACCGCCGGCGCCTCATGATCCTCACCTCTGGAACATTTAGCGGCATGACACATGGGGAGAACAGGAGGAGATGGAGGACGACATGTTTGGGTTTCTCCAATCGATGCCACACAGATGAGGTCGTTACACACAAAGGAAATGGTTTATTCATTCTTTAAACACATACAACTGTACAGACTGAATAAAGTTCTAAAGCCTCGTCAACACCTCTCACCTGTCAGAAACCCACTCCTCCTCCACCTGGCCTGCTTCTGTCATACAGCTCCACATAAACACTGATATAAACATCCCTAAACACTGCAGAGATCAGAACTTCTTGTTTCTTAAGTTCTGCTGACTTGGACGTCCCCCCGATGAGACTGACCTCGCTGTTGATATCTGCTCCTGCATCCAGCAGCATCTGCACCATGGCCTCGTCTCCACGGACGCAGGCGTACATCAGCGGGGTCATCCCCTACGTGAGCACAGGTGCAGGAGAACAATAAGCAGCCAAGATGCCATTCTTCCATTTTTGTTAAAGCATCAAACGTCTTCATGTGAGCTTCTACATTCAGATCTTTCATCGGTGAGTGCTCCACACTGACTGTCTGCCACTAAGATGTGTGAACATGAGTTACGTCCTGCCCTGCTCTCTGCTTTCATTACTGGTAGCACCTGTATGCTCGGCAGCTCCACTCCAGGCTCCTCCAGTCTGATGACAGCAATATTCTGCTATTGATCACATTTTTACAGGACGCCGTGTGACTCAGCGCGTCCTCGGGGCCATCTGAGATCCTGGCAGAGGTTATCTGACAGAAAACCAGCAGCGCTCTGTGTTTGAACTACATGCTGGTTTCCCCATGAAAAAACATGAGCTACGCTGTTCTCCTGATGATTTACTGGAGCTGCTGGTCATGATATGAGCAGAGCCGGTCGGCAGGAGAGCTGCAGGAGAAACACGTCAGAGGAAGATTTAATATGTAGGCCCACCTCTCCGCTCACAGGTGAAGGAGCCTCAGCTTACCGAGCAAACAAACACCTTCCCCAGGCTGTGTGTGTGTGTGTGTGTGTGTGTGTGTGTGTGTGCCTGTCCATGCATTATTTAACATGTTGACTGTGTCTCTAACCTGCTCGCTCATGCTGTTGATGCCGTCCGGCCCCAGCAGGTTGACAGCCTGCTTCACCAGGTCGGTGCGTCCACAGCTGAGCATCCGGAAGCCCAGGTCCTGCAGGAACTTTGCCTCAGTAGAGGCAGCGTCCAGTTTCCTCGAGGCACAGAAGCAGTCATCTGTTCTGAAGGGCAAAGCACACAAAGTGATTCAGAGAGCGGCCGGCTGTTGTGGCTGCTTGAGAAGCGCCACATTTCCCCCTAAACACCTGACCAGCGTTATTCTTTCACACCACAGGGAGGACAAGTATGCACATCTTTTGTTTGCTTGTATCACTGTGTGTCTGCGGGTTCAGATCAAGAGGTGGCTGAACAAACACACTCGTGCTCTGCAGCCCAAAGGGAAACACTCCTGGCGGGCCTACCGGAGCTGGCGTGGCTCACAGTCCACTCCGGGCAGCAGCAGCCTGGCGGCCTGCCGGACGTCGTCGCTGTCCACGGAGAAGCTGCGCCTGTGTTCGGTGTGAACCACGGCCACACGCACCCACTCCATGAGCGGCGGCAGCACCAGAAACGGCCTGTAGGGGGAGATGGAGGCACGTGTTGACCAACGCTGAACTCCAGGCACACACCAGGCACTTGCAAGGAAAACCCACCTCATGCAGAATCTGCATCTGTTGTGTTGGAGCTGCTGCCTGGTGCAGCGGATGTTTGAGAACAGGATGAACTCTAGAAAAGGAAACTAAAGAGCCCAAACCAGCACGCCGCGGACACGCCTGAATATGAGAACATCTAAGTGGGAAACAGCTGATCTCAGACTGTGGACCAAGTTACCTCGTTTCAGACGCAGACGTTTCCAATCCAGTGGCTGCTGGTCCTGATCCAGACTGAAGCCTGCGTGACTCTAGAACTGTTTTAAAGGCTCATCTGGTGACACGAGCAGCACGCTGTCGATATAGACGCAGTGCAACACATGCACATCCTGAGAGTTTCTGAATGCCATAGAAATGCACTCTGACGCTGCATCAGTCATATCAGTTACACGTATCATCACAGCGCAAGGTCACCAACTGCAGCTTCTACGCTTTAATCAGCGCCACAGCACCATGAGGTCCAGTGGACTCACAGGTACTGCACAGCAACACACAGCATTCATGAAGCTCACTGATTCTGAACTCTGCTGCACTGACAGAACCAGGGAACAACATTTTAACCCAACACAGGAAACAGAACCGGTCTGGATTAGCAAGCAGGCCAAAGCACCGGGGCCCAGGAAGCCCGGGTCGACCTCATATCAGCCGGGCCTGCACAATCAGATTCCTGGCAAATTAGTCAGAAATGTTCATCACCTAAAGCAGCTCATCGGCTGTAAGGACTCCATCTGGTCTGGAAGGGAGACTCGATATCTAGTCTTCAGATCAGAACTGTTCAGGTTCACACTGTGGAACTGCTCGTGTTGTTTCTGTAAATCAAATAATGAACAGAGAGAAAACCTCCGGCCTGCTGGTATTATCCCATCACCAGAACACTGTCTGCTCTGCATCACCATCAGACGTGACAGCTTTTCTCTCTCATAAGCCCTCCACTGCTCGGCGTGTCAAACGTCAGGAACGTCCGTCATTGGTCCCTGAAGCGGCGCTCTCGCATGTAAAATAAGTAAAACGCAAAAACTGTGAGGTTGAATGAATTAAGAAAAAAAAAGAAAAAGAAAATCTTCTCCTCCCGGCTTCCTGTCTGCTGCTCTCCTCCGCTCGTCCTGCGTCAGTGTTTACTGCAGTCACATGGACTCCACATGCATGAAGGTCCACGATGCTGCGCGTGGCCTCCAGACTGTACCAACAGCATGACATGGAAACACACACGCTCTCCACTTTGGCAATCAATGAGCTGTTCTAAATACATTATGTAAAACATACCTGCACTCTCCACACGGTCTGGAGGCGTCACTAGACTTTGTTCAGTAACATGCGGAGACAAGGGAAGCCTTTGGACTGCTGGTGCAGCCCGGCAGGGGAGGCATGCATCTCACACAGGTACACAAAAATAAATATATGAGCACGAAAGAAAAAATAGATTTAAATGCAAACTGATATAAATAAAGTCAACGTCAAATTTGATGTTTGCTTTTATGGTCTATGTTTTTAATCCTGCAAAACAGCATTTAGATCACAGCATTTCAGAATAAAAGCATCTGATGGGGATGTTTTCTGAATACATTAACTGCTCATGTGTTTTTATGAGCTGTCACATATACATGCAGTACGGACCTGATGAAACTCGGTCCGCTCCTCTGGGATCTGCTCATCAGTGTCAGTGTCAGTCTTAAAAGGATGCCTTAATGCCTCGACTGTTCCTGACACGTGCTCGGCTCACATCTGTCACTCATTACCGCCGCTCCCAGTCCATGGCAGGGTTATTTTAATTACAGTTTGATATGCTGAGAAGCCCCTTTTTGTTTTACTCACTTCAAAGGAGCCTGACCTGCAGCCACGTGACGCTACTGGTTCATTAAAAGCAGCGCACGACACCTAATCAAGAGGCAGCGAACGTATAACGGCGACGCATTCCTTCACAGGCCCAGTGGAAACTCTGGTTCACACGCAGTTCAAGGTCTCACTGTTTCCATTCAGCCTGCTTTCAAGGACTGCAATAAAGTGCTCAGACATTCCTGAAGGAGAGGAGGAACTGCAACTGGAGGGCTTTCCCTAATTTTTCGACTCTGGCAAAGATGACTTTTAAAAAAAACAACAACACGCATACATTTTGGTTGCTAATGGTGACTGGAGCTGAAGCAGACGCGAGTCGGACACCTGGGACTGGCATGAGCTGATAAACCGCTCTGCTGCAGGTGATAAACTCTGGAGCCCAGCGGAGGGATGCTCAGGCTCAGCTGTCAGCGCTCTGCCGCCGGCTGAAAGGGGTTTCCACCAAACTGGAGGAAATACTGGACGCAGAGCGAGTTAAAAAAAAAACAACAGCTCATAAAATCAGTAGAAAATTAGTTCATGAGCAGAAACAGTGAAGAACGGGAGACGTGCTCTGAGCTTTTCTGACTTGAGGGGAAACTTTCCAGAGTCCAGAGAGTCCAGGATGATGGATCAGGGTCTCAGCACCACGGAAAAATCCTCTAACCCTCATGTCATTCACATGAGTCCTACAACTGCCGCTACGTCAGCGGTGCTGCTCCAACAGAACCCGTCCTGCCACCGCTCAGGTCACCCAGAGGGCTCCCTCAAGTCGCCAATAAGGTGACGACTCACTTATATAAAACTGCTGCTTTCCTTCCAGAGGAAAACATCTGGTGCACCATTTCCAAGCACGCAGAGCCAGGAACACAATAAAAGTCTGCAGAGGTGTTGGGTTGCAGCCTCGTGCAGCTCTCTCGGTGTTTCGCTGTTTTTGTCCCTGAGCACATGAAAACGGTGCGATCGTACAAAACGAGGTGAAAAGGCCCGACAGGCTCATCAATAGCTGCTGTTTCTCTGCCTCGCTGTGAGATTAAGGCGCCTTAAAAAATCCTCACAGTGTGAAAACAAAACATTTCTGACAGCTCCATGATGATATGAAGCAGATACAATAAAGCTCCTTTTCCTAAGAAAAACAAAGCTTTTCTGTACTGTGCATTACTGCCTGTTGGTGAGATGTTTCTGTTTCATTTCTTCTGCTCCCAGCTTGTGTTTCTATTCCTGAGTGGTGTGCATCAGACATTTGAGGATTATGGATGTATTCATCAGTGCTCCTACTTGCATAAAGGCACCACAAACTAACAAGGACACATGATCAGTCATTTTGGGTTGTGTACGTGTCCACCTGATGGATATTTTCTTTACTTTTAGCTCCGTTTTGGTCTCTACCGACTATTACTGGCGTATCTGTTGTTTTAACTGGTGAACGTGTCCACAGCGCCCCCTGCTGAGCCACTAAAGGTGCTTTAATGCTGTTCAGTGCTGAGCAGGTCGCCTCGATGGGGCTTTTAAAACTATTTTGTTGAAAAAGTTGCACACAAGAACGGTGACAGTAAAGCACAGCAGTAAAGCTGAAGGTCAGAGAATCCAGAATGGATCAGAGACGGAAACCAGAAGTTCAGCTCAGAGCTGGTGAAGTAACCCCACAGTCCAACACAGATGTATTGATTTTAGCTGCAGAAATTGTTTGTAACTGGATTGTTTTTCAAATTACTGTGATTCTGTTTGTGACAATCGGTGCAACTTAATTTACCGCCGTTTACTTTCAGTGTCCAAAAGAGAGAAACCCAGAGTGTGTGAAGGCTGCTATTAGTCTCCATTATGAAAACCTACAATGAGATCTGTCGATATCATCCGACGGTCCTTCCCCGTCTCTGAGTAAAATCCCATTTCTACTCAGAGTACGTTTTAAAAACACACACCAGCGTCTCTTTGTCCTAAAGCCGCAGTAGTTTCCTGAAACAGCTGGAAATCAGCAAAGTGACTCCAGCAGGAGAAGACAATGTGTTTTCTGGGGACTATTTTCATTCTGAATTATCACATATTGGAGCTCTGGCCAGTATTCAGGCAGCGAATGCAGGACTGGCCCAAAATAAAGGCACACTGATGTTTTATTAGCTGTGGACAGGCGGCTCTGTGCGGCAGATACAGGCTCTGGCTTCAGACACAATGCTTCTGAGCAGGGATCAGCTTATTGTTGGTTTTGGGCTTTTCATGGGATTTGTTGACAAAAATATAGAACAGCAGCAGACGCGGTGAAACTATGAATCTGAGTTTAGTGTGCAGCTGCTCTGTGCGGTCCGGTCCGGTCCGGCTGGATCTGGAGCTCCTCACCTCTCTGTTTGTAAGGTGACCTTGGAGGGCTCCACGTTGGGGTTCTCCCACTCCATCTGGGGGCAGTGCATGAAGTAGCACAGCGTGTAGATGGCCTCGGGCGCCCAGTGAATCACGCCGCTCTTCTGGTGGATGGGCGTCCCGTTGCTGTGGTTCTTGGTGTAGAGCGGCTGTAGGTGGTGCATGGCCCGGGACACCAGATCACCTACACAGACAACGTTCAGGGAAACACAAAAAGAAACACAGGCAGTCAGAGGAATTCACGGGCAGCAGACGAGGGAGAAAAACAGAATATGTTGAGCACGCGGCCTTTAAAAAGACGTCGGGGAATCATCCTCATTCCTTCCAGGCCCTCGGCGCTCAGTCTGTCAGAGGGAACAAGAGCCTCCATGCAGCACAATCAGGAGAGAGACCGGGTCCATCCCGGTCCTCTGTGCGCCGCTCACAGGGAGAATCAGCACCGCGCTGCTCTGCTGAATGAATATTTATGGATAAACATCAGCTACTCCCAGCTATTTCCTCTGCATAATTCCTCAGTACTTTAAGGTCATTCAGTTGGGCTTCAAAAATCAAAGCTTGAGAGAACTCTGCTCATAAAAATTTGAATATTCTCCAGGCGGGTTTGGGAAGAAAAAAAAAAAAAGTAAATACTTCTTGGAAAAGCTCATCCTGTTTTGTTTTTTCAGTGCAGCTCATCATGGATCTGAAGCTTCTTTCACAGCCGGCGCGTTGCTTTCATGAAAGCGCCGCCACGCTTTGTGGCACTTTAGTTATTGAGTGTGCTCACCTGAACAACAAGCCGTTTATTACAGCATGGAGTCAGAGCCCATCTCAGCGAACGCTGTCAGCCTTCTGTCACTTCTGCTTCCTGTCTGGACCCGCTGCACTATGAGGGGAAAGTAATGAAACTCTGAGGCTCTCAGGGTCCATCTAACAGAAAGAGAACCGCTCTGTGCCGTATTGTTCTGGTCAGTTTGATGCTGTTCAAGGCAGGAACTCATAGACTGTGATGGCACTTGGTTCCTGTTTCTAAATGGACCGTACTGTACGTGTGACTATACAATCCAGAGCGGGAACAAACAGCCATTCCCACGGACAAAAGGGTTTGTTTAGCATCAAAATTGCACCATTTGGTGGTTGCCAAGATTCCATTTATCCTCGACAATGTGCGAGGCGCGTGTGAAAAGGATGCCTGGATGAGGGACGAGCATTCATGCAATAAAACAGTCGATCTCTCAGCCGTCCTCTGAGACCAGCGCTGCAGCGCCAGGAGCTGCAATGTGCCGTCATCGAGTTGAGATGCAATCAGCCGGAAATGCGATGACAGGAACGAACACCTCTCGTATAGATTTTGAAGTTCAGGCCTTCAGTTTCTCTGTCTGGTCCAGCAGTCGGCCTCGTAATTATGACAGCTGGATAAATGTGCGTCTTCTCGTTCAGGATTACGGATGTCATTATTGTGCTCTTATCATTAAATCTGTCATAGACTGGTAACCTGAACTAACACGGACACATTCTCACCTCTCAGGTTGATAGAACCGTTACCCATGTGTTCACTGGCAGTCATGTAGGATCCTGTTTCCTGTTTCGCTCCGTTTTGGTCTCCACCAACTACTTTGTTCCTTTAAACTACTAAATATCTCCATCATGATCGCCACTGAGTCACTAAACGTCTTCATCAGCTGTTTGATGGCCCAGAGTGGGGCTTTCAGAACTTTTCTGTTGTACGGTGAAAGTAAACCAGAGAAAGACAGGATTCAGCAGCTCCTGGTTCTCATTTGTTCTGACAGCTGAACTGTGCTGGAGGTCATGATGCGAACACGATGACAGCAGCGACCACCCCTCGTATACGTCTGGAGCTGAGGCCCTGTTGGTTCAGCCTGTTGCTATCCGACTTTCTCTTCATCGTGCCAACAGGAACTGAGATAAGCTTGTAACTGTGCCCTCTGCAGCTCGGTAAGGCGAGCTGAGGTGGTCAGCGACAGACACTTCTCATGCCTTATTGATGCTGCTAGGTGACATTTCCTACGCTGGCAGAGGAGGCTGAGAATGTAGATTGTGTCGGACGCTGAAGGAGTGCACCAGGAGTGAAGGAGCAGCAGCTTAACGTGAGATTACTGCCGCGCTGAAAGTCCTGCAGACATCAGGATTAGCTGATGTTAACCAACGCAGAGCAGTCAGGAGTCAGAAAAGAAGGACGAACAGCAGTTAAATGAGCTACAACGTCGATAGCCTTTTCATGGTAAGACTCACGCCTTGAATCGATACCTCATCCCGGCTGATTAGCTCTCTGTGCTGACAAGACGAGGAGCTGTGCAGGACGAGCAGATCCTCAGGTGTTACCTTCTAGCAACGCTCTCCAAGCTTTGTAATCCTCTTTGAAAAACAAAACCACACTGATACGCCGGTTTCCAGGGTGTAACGGCAACCGCTGATTTACTTTATGGAGTTGGCACCTTTAGGGTCAGAACCAGGCAGCGCCGGCGCCCACAGAACCACCAAACCGCTCATCAGAGACTGTGAAGGCAGCTCAGTGTCTAATAGTGGCAGAGAGACAGTTGGGCTGCTCTGTCTGAGACGTAGACATGAACTCTGATGGAGTGACTATATTCAGCCTTCATGGGGAAAGAACGACCAGGAACAGCTTTTCTTTGGGTTCTGATGAATGGTGCAGCTGGCGCCATTTTTCTGTTTCAATTACTTGCTGCTATGCGGCCGTGATTGGTCTAACGGTGGCCTGTGGCCGTCCTGACTTAACGAGACGCGAAGCTGTTCTCCTGTCATTAGCTCTGCCCGTTTGGAAACAACCACCAGCTATGGAGCGATAACGGGAACGTTTCATGGAGCTGTGATGCTGATAGTCTCATCGTAAACGTCTCTGCTACCAGCTCACAGCTTCCCCGGCAGGAACCTGTCGGAGCCTCACCCTGTCTGAATCCAGGACGTTTGGACCAAACGGCACACAAAGCACCATCACATGACGAGTCTCCTGCTGCCTGAAGGCTCTGGAGTCTTTATTAGAGAAGGACGGATGTGCTAATGATCCACATAAACGTGGCTTTTCTCTGTTGAACCAAAGCTGCTGTTCCAAAGCTAAACCACCTCATAGACACTGAAGATGACCGACTCCATGATGGCAGGTTGCTTCAGCTTTGACAGTTTCCACTGGATTCCTTTAACGTCCGGGACGAGGGACATAATTCCTCCTTTGCGGCTATTGATCCAAACCGAAGGCCCACCAGAGCGCAGCGCTGCCGTTCACACCATCCACCTCCAGCATTGTCACGGTTCCTCCCATATCCTGCTGCTTTCTTTGACATGTGGTCAGAGATAAGTACTGTGTTCAGAGGAGACACATAAAACATCTACATACTTTCAGCGAAGCCACAATAAAACCATCTTTAAAAGGTGTTATTGAGACACGCTGCTGACGGCCATTAGCGCGCCGCCTGCTCCGTCTCGCTGGAAGCACTTACAGAAAAGCACTAAAGCGAAAGTGAAACGAGAAGGAGACAAAAGAAAAAAATCACGATCTCTGCACGTCGGCGCTAAACTCTTAGAGTTGGGGTCAAATCAATAATAATGAGTAATGATGTTTCCAGCATGTTTTTTTAATCAGCAGCAGCTCGTATTGTGGCAGCGCTGCATTGAATTATTAATACAGGCATTATGATTATTTTAGGGCTGGATGTAACCGCAGGTCATAAAAATGTGTGAATACGTTAAAGAGCAGCGTTAAAAGTGACAAAGAAGTTCTATAAGCTCGAGCGTACAGGAAGAGGAACACCACAGGCCGGCTGAGGCTGTACGTTAAAGACGCGCTGGCACGTCTTCAACAACATTTTGATGTCTCTGAAGCGCTCGTGAGGCGGCGCTGTGCTCTCTGGACACTGTAGAAGTACTACAGCGAACTGAAGTGACTCCGAGCAGCTTCTCTCCAACACCTTCTGCATCTTTGCCAAACTGAAAGCTCAGTGAAGTGCAGCGAGATGAGAAGTGACCAACAGTTGGGGAAAAGGTCAGAATTTGGGGAAAATGGAAAGACAGCTTGACCTTTACATGAGGTGTTTAAAAATCTAAGTGAAACAGCTTCGTGATGGCGGACAGGGAGGCGCTCAGTGTAAAGCTGGTGTCTGGATCAGTCTGCTTTGGTAGCACTGTCTAAACCATCACCACAGTTTGCTAAAGGCTGAGGCCTGGTGCACAGCCAGCCAGTCCCAGAGTAGGAATAAGAGCGCAGCAGGATAACAGGGATTCAGGCTTCACCTCTGAAACAGTCTCAGTCTTGGGGAATTTGAGATTTGAGATCCTTGAAGCTTTGAGGATTTACTGAATCTTTCCTGAGACTTGATTTATGGGAGGAGGTGTAACGTTTGAGATGTAAAACTAAAAAGGGAAATAATCATCCAGAAGAAGAAAAACGAGCTGCAGAACATTTCTGAGGATTGATGCAACCTTCATGTCCAGTGAAACCCACACGGCGTCTCATGGCGCTACGTTCCTGACAGCTACACAGAAACGTATTTCTGACGTAGTGGGAACGTTTCCTCATTTCAAAGAGGCTCCTGTTGGGTGCAGAACCAGCACCCAGCAGACCGGGCTGAACCATTGCTTTGGACACAAGTTTCAGCTTCACTTGCTGTTTGGTTGGATTCCAGCTTGACTTGTACTCCTGCGATGGATCGACATCATGTCTTCATCCTGTCCACCGTAGCCGGACGTGCCTCCTCCCACTGACGTAGCTACAAGCTGCAGCAACACAGCGGTGATCCCTCTGCTTCCTAACACGCTGATTCGTGCGTGGACGTGGTTTGCTCATAATGCAGGAGCCGGTGTGCAGCTCGACCATCTCTGCAGAGACTCAAACATCTACAAATCTTCTCTCTTTTCTGTGGTTTAAGACATGTTGGTGAACGTAAGTGCAACGTCCACATTCACTGACTCCAAGTCCAACATGATTCACTCGTTTCTGTCTCTATTGTTTGAATATACGCTGAAACTCTTCACATCTCCACCGAAAAGCCTCCACTAGCGTTTTGTGAAGCGCACATTGAGGCAGACGCACCAAATCCAACGCTCCCAGCAGCAGCAGCCTGTCGGCCGCCTTCATGCTTCAGCTGCATCGATGGCTCCGTGTAGTTCACAACAGGAGGATAAATAAAGATGTAGGCCGCAAAACTACTTAGTCAGGCTTAAGAGAACGTCGTGTTTAAATTAAAATTCACCTTTACAAGAACAAAAACTACATGAGAGAAGTTTTATAAAACTATAAATATCGCGGCTGGGGGTTTGATTCTAAACGTTTTCTGAAGCTCCTTCTTCATTGCTTGCGTCACCAGTGTGATAACATCAGCCTCATAACACGCATTTGTTCAAAAAGGAGCAAAATCTGGAAAGCAACACAATAAATAGCAAATATTTGTTCATTAGCAACACGTTTCTTATTGGTCACGAATAAACATAACACAGGAGAAGGTACTTTATCCTGGAAACAAAATGAAGAATGCAGTTTAGCAGCACAGGACTGTCACTTTAAGGAGACAGGGCAGGTTAAATACGCAGATTAGCTTAGCTTAGCATGAAGACTGTAAGCTTGTGTGCATTTCCCAACACGTCAAACTGTTCCTTTAAAGCTGCTCCTCGTGGTTCTGTGGTTTGCAGCCGACGGACACATCAGCCAGGTCAGACCCACTGGACCTGGTTCCACTGCGGTGCTGATGTTTCCAGCTGTATAGGTTTACATACATACGGAGGAGCCTGTATGTGTCTGCATCCTCCATCCAACGCTGGTCCTAAGAATAGATCGGTTCAGATTTAGCAGCGTACTGAGTTACAGCGATGTGTGGACCATATCAGCACCGACCGGCCTCATAGCTGCAGAATGTGCAGGACTGCCATTTCAAATATGCTAATTTGGCATTTTGGCAGGAGAGAAAATGAGAAAATACAAAGAGGTAAATGAGTGACAAACCTCTAAAATGTAATCTAAATGCCAGTGGGTAGGATGCACATCTCCACCGTGCAGGAGCAGCCGCTCATGTTCCAGATCCACCAAATGTATTGGACAACATCAGCCTGTCACGGGCGTCTCTCCTTGACCTCCTCACCTCATCTCATCTCGCTCTCGTTCCCTCTGACAGCGCAATCATCGCCGCTTATTCTGCTCTTCTCAATTATTCATTTTGTTTCAGCTGTTCACTAATCCTGCCGTTATTTACAGAGTTCCTGATGACATTAGCGCCGCCATCATCCATCAGCTGCTCTGGCAGCGTGTTTGCAGCGTCAACACAACACAGCCAGTCCCTGCTTGACCTCATCAGCGCAGCGCCGACGCAGGACGATGAGAAATGTTTACATGAGACACACAGACAATATTTTCTCAGTCTTTTCTTAACACACTGATTGTACGACAACAGAGAGGCGCTGCAGCCCTTTAGCCAGTATGTGGATTCTTGGGGATTTCACTTCCTGTCATTCAGAGACGCTCTGGGATCGTCCGTCTGATTTGTTGTTCTGCTGTCAGTGGACAGTGTTTTCTGGAAAGTCTCTGCGAGCTGCACGCAACCGAAAAACAAACTGCTCAACACTTCGGATGAGCGAAAGGATTGTGTGACTGCATGTGATTAGATCAGGCGGGAACGGGAGACGCTGTGAGTTCAGCGGCTTGAGACTCGGACTGCCGCCACCGATTTGTGGAGGAGCGATCAACGCATTGTCAGAAAGTTTCCCCCAAAACAGAAAAACAAACTCGATGGTTCGAACTTTGGCTGCGTGTTGCAACTTTTGCAGATTTCTTGTGAGAGGACGAGAAAACATAATCAGCAAGATGCAGAAAAGCTATTTTTACTATATTATCTATAAAAGCGGCTCCTAAAGCTGATGCTAATGACTTCACATTGTATGAGCGCGCTGTGATGCCCATTATTCTGTGGATAATGACTACATTGTCAATGGACAGACATTCAATTAACTTCTGCAGGACTTGTCAAACTTTAAGCTAAAATCAGTCACTCTTAATGAATGGCTGCGGTTCATTAGAATTGTTTCACTGACAGCACGACTCCCACAGATCCACACTGGCTCTAACAGGCGCATACACACTGTACAGGGCATCAGCGATCCACTGACACAGCAGGACGACGCTCTGGGAAGCCTCATGGTATCCATCAGCTGATCAGAACACATTCAGTCAACACGCTGATGGAGACGATCACACTGAGATGTTTTACCAGAGTTCGCTGTTTGGACTCAATCCAGAGGTTTGTGCACGTGACAGAGCTTGGTGCTGGTTCTGTTGGTTCTAGCCATTAAATTCATATGAGCTGGGTTCCATAATACAGCCGTGTTTCACTGTGACGTGACATCAGTCGGGTCGATCCCTCTGACTGATGGTTCTGTGTGCTGCTCAGCTAAAGCAGTGGTTTCTATGGTTTCGTGGGTCAGATCCAGGTGTGTGGATGCTCAGGTGCTACATGGTCTTGGCTGCAAAGTTCAGTCTTGCTGGGTGACTTTTTATTATCATCATCGACTAAAGCCTCAGTGAAGAGGTCTGTGGCCGAAGACGTGACGTTTGTGAAACAGCAACTTTGGAGCGTTTTTAGTTTTAGAGCCATAAAGGTCCAAAAGACCAGGTGTCAGTGAATCTAACAGATCCTGATGAACCCGAACACACACTCAGGCTGTGTGTTTCAGGCCCCGGGTGGCCCAAAGACACCCAGGTGCCCCAAAGGACACCCAGGGGCAGGAGGAGGACACCAGAACATGACATCCACGTGTGACTTCACAACCACATCCGTGTTCAGGCAGCTCTGAGGAGCAGAACCTCTGGACTGCAGAGCTTCATTCCCGTTCAGCCTCACAGCGAAGTGTGTGTTTGCTGGCTGGTCCACGGCGCCAGTCACCTGGGACACGCCTCCGCTGGTTCTGTTGCCTGTTCTCTTCTATTTCCTGCATAGACGTCATGTGACCGGCACATTCTATATCACATGACGCTTTGTTTTTACTTTAGTAAAAAGACCAGCAGAGTCCACATCAGGTGCTGCTGACATCAGAACCTGAACACAGGAGGCGGGTCGGAGTCCTGCCTGGGACCACTGTTCTGTTTGTTTGTTTGTTCTCCGATAGGTTTCAGCACTAAATCTGTTGGTTGTGTTTTGGTTGTGATGACGTTTGAGGGGAAACACGACCAATCAGCTTCTCAGCTGCAGTTTACTTTCATTTTCCGTCGCTGCTTTCTGTCATTTTGCTTTTGCTGACTCAGCAGAACTACGCGGTTCGGTTTTGGAGGAGATCGAGGGTTTGGGTTGAACAACACAAACAGCTCCAGCTGGCAGTGACATCGTGAGGCGTTCAAGTCCCGCCTGAAGAATAGATTCTGAAACCCGTACGTGTCTCACAGCCGTACAGTTTTTTTCTTTTTGTGGATCCATGAAGCTTCTAGACGTCCTTCAGACAGACGGCTGGGATAAAGCAGGAACCTTCACTGGAACACAGTCTGAATGAATGACGGCTGAATTTCACCATCAGGGCGACACTGAGTCCTCAGCAATGCTTCGACCAACACCTGCACTCTCCTCGGACCATGAATCCAAATGTCTGCTGTGAAGAACGTTCCTGAAGTTCTGTGATGACTCTTGACTTGCAGTCAGGAGTTGGTGGAGATGGAGGTCCGGCCTTCCAACAAGCCCGTCGATCCGCTTCACGCCAAACCTAGAAAACCCGTTTTCTGAGGAGCTCTAGTTGTGCAGCAGAAACAGAACCCGGTGTTCCTAAAGCGCCGGCCCGTCGCGCTGCAGAGAGGAAGGGGTTAACGACAGCCTTTCTCCACTCAGACTTCCCGTCACGCCCACTCGCTCACACCACTCACTGAGTTCAGAGATGCTGCCCACTCTGGTGGCCAGGAGGCACTGCTCGACGGAGCGCAGCTCAGTCTGGCTGTAGGAGTTTCCCTCGCCGCTCTTCGCCGCTCGCTGCTGCTGCTGCTGGTCTCTGTGAAGCGTCACACCCTCAGGTAGGCTGAGCACACCTGGGAGAGAGAAGAACATCAGATCAGCGTGACTGTGTCGAGCAGGAGTCCAGTCTGGACGGGTTCACAGCCTGTGGGTCATTCTGGGCAATAATAACTCATCCACTAGCTCTGGTCTAAATCTAAGTGTTTTCATTACAGGAAACAGAACCAGAACCAGAACCAGATTTATTGCCAGATATAGTTTACACAATACGAGCAGTTTGTTCTGGTGGGTCGGGGAGTCAGAAACAAGGTTCTGGATAAAAATATGAAAATAGCTCCAAAATAAAAGTAAGTACAAATAAAACAGCTGTGATAGAACCTAATCAAATCCTGTGGATGAAGAATTAAATCTGAACAAGATCCATAAAACTGTGGAGCTACTTACAGGAAACCAAACAGAAACATCTCATCACATCCTTTTACTGCAGCAGAGCAGAAAGACTGAAGACAAAGTTCAATCTAATCTAAAGCTGTGATTATCTGCATCCAGGACGAGAGTCTGACGGTGAAACACCAGAGGCCAGACGTTGGAGTAACTCCTGGTTACACCTGTCAGACTCCTCCTCCAGGTAACAGCGTCTCATCGTTCACGTCCTGAAGCAGATTCTGCATCTCGCTCCATGTTTGCAGGGTGTCGACCAATCAAAGGGCTGAAAGCTGCGACTCTCCACTTCTCCCCCTGATCAGTGGAAGAAAAGCAGCTTTGGTTTTAATGTCTCCTGATTTAATGCCTGCAGCAAAGCGACACTCTGTCCTCAGCTTGTGGGAGCAAACAGGTGTTTAAAGGACAATTGATGCTGCTGGTCCCCAGAGAGACGGAGGCAGGCCAAAGTAAAGAAGAAGGATGAGAGTAAAAGCTTCTGCCTTCTTCTCTGTGCAGAAGGCAGGACAGTCTAACAGGCTTTACAGTGAATGTGTCACAAACATCTTGGGTTTCTGGCAAACGGTGGCGGTGAACCTTCGGCCAGTTTGCAGCAAAGTCATGCTTTCATATACAAATCAGGTTTCTGGCAAACCGTGGTGGTTAACCTGCAGCAGCGCTGCTGCCAATTTACAAGAAGGTCATATTTTTATATGCAAATGAAATGTTGTTGTAGTCTTGTGGTGGACTTCTGGCTACCTTTGTGGAAAAACCTCCAGCATTAGCCAAACCCACGTCATGCTTCAGAGGATGACAGGAGAGCTGGGTCATGTGGTCCGGCCATCCAGGCAGACAGACGACCATCCAGCTCACAGCCACACCTACAGCCGCCATCATGAAGCCGCCATGCACGTCCTGGGACCGTGGGAGGAAGCCGCAGCGCTCAGAGGAACCGAGGAAATTAATCTGGACTCATTCTACAAACTACATGAAATATTATTTCTCAGTCAAACAGTCAACACTCCAGCAAACCTCCCACAGGCTCCTCCTGAGTCAGCCACAAGTCCACGGCAGGTTCAGCACAGTCCTCGTCTGCATATGAAAAGAAGACCTGCCTGCAAGTTTACAACAACAGCTAAAGAATGAATTACAGCCGTCTGCCAGAAACCAGAAACCTGGAAGTCGGATCATTCCTGTAGTAGTTGGAGATGGTCCCTGTTCCAAACATAAAACGACGTGTTTGCAGCTGACGGCAGATTCTGACCAGAACGCTGCAGGAAGTTCACCACCAGGGGCAACGCTGGAAAGCTGCTGTTTCTCCAAACAAACCGCCCACACATTTCTGGCAAATCAGCTGCAAGCATTTAGTTTTTCTAATAGATGAAGTGACACAGATAAATATTCAACGACACAGAAAGGCAGCGTCTTTGTTTTCTCCATCATCTCCAGCAGGTAACTCCAGGTCTCCTGTGTGTCTGGTACCGACGTAAGAACAGTTCAGTATGGCATCAATGTAGGATTTAGCTTTAACATAGGATGTAATTATATCATCATATCATGGAATGAGCTCGTGGAGGTTAAACTGGAGTCGACTATTTAAGACGTTCTTGTGCTTACGTTGAAAATATTAAACTAATTGCAGCAACACAACACTTTGATATTTCTGAGATGCTGTAGGAGACGGATGGTTTTTCTTAGTCAAGGACAGCGTTCACATCGTTATGCTGCGGTGGTCCGTTTAAACGAATCCTTTGAACGCACAGAGTTTGAACATCATGCCTGTAATGAGACTCGTGTGTGATGTACGTCATAAAAACATGTGGACGCGGGTTTGTTGGCGATGAGTCGCAGTTATTCAGATCGTAGAGCAGCTGCCTGCAGAGCGCGACCACCTCATCGACGTCTCTGTTCAGGTGAGACCACAGACCCGACCTGCACGACCCGAAACACAGAGCAGAGCATCACCAGGTGTCGTCATGGTTCAGCCAACGGGCCGCACCAGCCATCAAATGATGAAGACAAAAACACTTTCACATGAAGGTGTGAGCAGGGACGGCTCTGGAACACCTTCTTCATCGCTTTACTTGCTCACAACGCCGCCTGTGAGGCGAGCAAACTGCAGGAAATCCATCCTGAACTACTTGAAGCAGCAGAGGGAGCGACCCTGCACTCCCGCCCACTCTCCTCTCAGACGGTTATATGTGAGAATAAATCCCACTCAGAGGGTCTCCAGGACTCAGGAGCCACCTGCTCCCATGTGCCGGACTGAAGGCGTCCAGGTGTGACTCGGACCGCACCGCAGACACCATCAGTTTCATAATTGGCTAAAGGGATCAAAACAGAAGTCTCATTTGCTTCAACCCTTCAACCCCAGCAGCAGTCACACAGAGCTTCGTCATGACAACCTGAAACCTGCAGGAAAGAGACTGAACATGATGAGAAATGAGCGAAGGCCAGTTTGGAACACGTCTCTCTCTCCGTTCACCACGACCAGCGCAGGAAATCTGTAGCTGGAAGACTTTGCAAAACTATATGAACACTAGCAATGCAGTGTTTAACAGATTAGCTTAGCATAGTAGCATGCTAACATCTGCTGAGATGAGGAGACAGGAGATTATTTTGAAGGTCAAAAACCAAAGTATTCAAAAAGATCAAATTATGACTTATTTTCTTTAAGGTTTTTATTTTTATATTTTTATTGTTTTTAATGTTTAACCTGCTCGTAGCATGAGAGGAAACGACGGTGAACTGTCAAAGTCGGCAGGATTCATCCTCTGG